TATCTCAAACTAAAAACAACATAAATTTTAGAGCTGGTAGAGAATGACGTGGTAAAATTGGAATGCTACGCTGGTAAGAATGTAAAGTGGTGCAGCCTCTTTGGAAAGCAGTTTGGCTGTTGTTCAAAATGTTAAATATCAGGTATGTAATCCAGCAACTTTAGGTAGATACACAAAAGAATTGAAAACACAACATCCAGACAAAATCTTGAATGTTCATAGTAGTGTTGTTTAAAGTAGCCAAAATGTAAAAACAGCTTAAAATGACCATGGACTAATGAACAGATATATACATTGTGGTATATACCTATCAGTAATAAAAGGGAAAAAAGTTCTGTTCCATGCAAACACATGGATGAACTTTGAAAACATTATACTGTCACAAAAGACCACATATTATGTGATTCCTTACATATGAAATGTCCTAAATTGGCAAATCTATAGCAATGGAAAGTAGGCTGGGGGTGGGAGGTTACAAAGTGACTGCTAATGAACATAGAGTTTCTTTGACGAATAGAAAGTATAAAATTAGATTGCGGCAATGGTTGCACAACTCTGGATCTACTAAAAATTATTGAATCTTGCACTTTAAATGGGTGCACTCTGTGTCTGTAAATTATATCTCAATATAGCTATTAAAATGGATTTATGATCCAGATAATAGGGGAAAAAACTGAAACCGCTTAAATATATTAATTCCAAACTGATAGAATCAATGATGTATATCAACCATATAACTCTTCAGTTTTTAAAAGGAAAATGAAGACTACACTTACTTATAACACAGCCTGCTAAGAATTATTTTTAGGTGAAAAAAGTAAAGAGTAGAATAGTATATTGTAGTAAGTGAAAACATGAAGTAGAATGGCATATTTTTGTTTATACTATTCTCATTTTTATGAAAGGAATTTATGTATATTATTTGTGCATCAAGTATATGTCTTTGTTTCCTAGGTTATGACATTTATTTATGTGCTTCTAAAAATCTAATTAACGATGATTTTGGAAGTTTTGTTTCCTCTTTCACTATTCATAGCAACAAGCTCAAGTTTCCTCTTGCTCAGTTTGTTTCTTTTTAATACTTTATCATGATTCTAAACATTTTCCTCTGCTGTGAAGCAGGGCTTCCAGGAGTCACACCTGTGATTGAGCCCATTTCTCTTTTCCAAGACATTGAGGCCAGATATGTGTGTGCTGACCACAGCAAAATTGCTCAGGCTGAAGCAATTCCAGCTGCTTGCTGCCTCTCCCCAAGGGATTCTACAGAACCCCCCAAAGGCCAAGAGGGGCAGGAATGAGACATGAGTGGAGTGCCACCGTTCGTGTTCTAACTAAAGCTTCCCCAAGATGATAAGAAATCACTGTCATTCTAAAATGTCTGTTTCTAAAGATCAGGCTTGATTTTGAATAAAATTAGGATATTTTATTCCATTATTAATTCATTCAGAAAGAGTTCTTGAGAGTTTCTTGCTTGTTATAAGAGTAACTAGTTTATCACTGTATTCTTATCCACAGTTACCTAAAAGGCAATCAAGATGATTCTTCACACTTATTATTTTGGATTGATAGTAGTTCAAGTATTTAGATAAGAAAGGCAAAGTGTGATACTTTCAACAATAAAGAAAAAGAAAAAGAAAGGCAAAGAAGTTCAATTTTTGCAATATTGTTTTTTATAAAAAAACAATTTTGAAAACTCGAGCTATGCTTTGTCTCTAAACATTCATGCATTCATGATTTTAGAATTAAAAGGAATTGCAACTTTAATGCTCCTTTTACATGGCTAATTATATTAGTATGACCATCATCTAGCTGTGTTTAATAAACATGCATATTCACTTGCTATTTTAACCTTTTATATAAAAATAAGTTAAAATGTTAACAACCATTAAAAATTTGTTCTTAAAATATATAATAAATTGAATAAATTTTACTTAATTTTAAATTCTAAAATTAGTAAATTTATGACATAAGAATATATCAGATATAAAATTTGATCCTAATATAGAATATTGTCAAAATTTGATTAATGATCTTGATGTTTTCATTGATAGCTCAATTGATAGTAATCATTTTTGTGTAATCCACTGGCAACTGAAATGTGCAACATACTGATTTTTTCAGGTGAGACATAGGCTCCCTGAGCAGCTATGAGGAGAAAGAAATAGTGACATTTAATTCAGTCTAATTTATTCCTGAGAAAAAGACGATTGACTGCAGTTCATGAAGTCCATGGCAAGAGTTAGATGAAATGGTGAAATCATTTACAAACACTACAACTAAAAATTAAATTAGAATATGGAATACTGAATAATAAATCCCATGTAATTCAAATTAGCGTTGCCTTTTCACTTGACAGATGTTACCTTAAAAGGACAGATTTATATTATGAGTACAAATGGGGAGAACTATGATAATCTAATAGAGTGAATCCAGAGAAAGTTGATTTTAAGATTGCATCAAAGGTTTTAGAATTTATATTAGTTACAAAACTAAAGAGCTATAAAATGGAGTTAAGAAATTGACCCCAAAAAGAACCGAATTAATTTTATTTGTGATTTTTCTTGTTAGTTGTGTGGTGCATTGCATGTTTACAAAAATGATTCAAACTTATTTATAATACATTTCTTGGAGAGCTTCTTTGAAGTCAAGAATTCACAAGCCAATAGCATCCAGGATAATGTCTCTTAATCAGCTGAAAACAAAAATACAGGCAAACCTCATTTTACACATTTTATTCACAGATGTTGAGTTTTTTGCAAATTGAAGATAAAACCCTCCACCAGCCAAAGTATTACGACTTACTATATTTTGATACTCGGTTTATTGCAGCAGTCTGAAACAGACCCCACTATATCTTCAAGATATGCCTGTACTCTAAAGCAACAATAGGTAAATTATACTATTGTCCCAGGCAAGGAGAGATAAAAATAATATTTAGTTGAGGTGTATCTTTATATAAGTTGGTACTCAGGAGACATGACTTGGCCAACCAAGAGCTGACGTCCACGTGCTGGTGCAAAAGTAAAAGTCCCTTGTTGCTAGATCACTTTGCTAGGCAATGACAGTGCTAGAGTTGACAGGCAAGATATTCTTTGTAGAACTACTGCATGGCTTTCCCCCTTCAGTAAAAAGGGCACCTTTCCCACAGTGGGAGCTAATGCCCCAAAGGTCTTCACAGAGCTTTTTAGAGAGTAGCCCTGCTCAGGATGAACACTCTGGGAGAGTCTTCACAAACTCTATGTAGTTATAGTCTAAATGTGCTCTTGCCATAGTTGCTTCTCCACATGTTTTATGCCATAAACCCCACTAATGCCCCCAGCAGCTGAGCTACTGGGTGCTTATCAGAGACAACAGATGAGATTATAGCATCCTGACACACAGCACTTCACTTTCCTATCAAAACAACTTTACTCATAAAAACAACTTCATTTGTAGGTCAAAACAACTTCATTCTTAAAAGCAACTTTTTCTTGAAAAAGTGGATTTCAAATCATATCAAGTTGGTGCACAACAGACAACATTCAAAATAAAAATATGCTCAGTTAACTGTTGATTATGTTGCAGCAAGATCTTTCTCAGTAACAAGACAATTCTCTTAATGATTATATTAATTGAAATGTACAAAAGCACGGTTTCCCAAAGAGTATATAACACTCAGGAGTATACTGGAGACATTCATTTTACAAATATTTATAAAGTGTTTACTATGAATAAGGAATTCCGCCAAAATGAGGGATCTGTGTGTGGAGGGAGGGTGGAGAAACCATGTCCAGGGTACAGCTGAGCAGGATTGGCTGTGCGTAAAATAATAACCAGACTACCAGCAGGCGGGGAATATTCAAGCAGTGGTATGATGACAGAAACATCAAGTTCACCCTGGTGGACCAGGAGCAACCAAAGGCTATGTGGAGGAAATAATATAGATCCTGACCTGGCACTTTAGGTGAAGAGAGGAACAACGATGCATGCACAGTGGTGTGAACAAATTTCTAAATTTGGAGAACTAAGGATTTTTTTATTGGTTGATTGATTAATTTTAGAGTGAGAAGAAGGGAGAGAGATAGAAACATTGATAAGAGAGAATATTGATGGCCGCCTCCTGCATGCCCCTCACTGGGGATCACGTCCACAACCTGGGAATGTGCCCTAACCAGGAATCGAACTGGTGACCTCTTGGTGCATGGGTCAATGCTCAACCTCTGAGCCACACAGGCCGGGCAAACTCAGGGTTTTTTTTAAATAGTAATCTCATTTGGTTTGAGAAAAGTTAGGGTGCTTATGAAGAATCATGATAAAATAGGCTGGGAAGTAGAGAGGAATTCAATTATCAAGAGGCTTTGAATGTAAAAGTAAAGCATTTCAATTTAATTCAAAGGCAATTGTTTTGGGTCATTATTTATTAAGGAAAACAATTAGATTAGTAGTATAATTTGTGGGGAAAAAATTAAGGAATCATTTGTAGGCATTTCTAAAATACTTCTTGAGTACCTCCTATAAACGAATGTAAGTCACTTTGAGGAATACATATTTTAGCAATCAACCTAGAAATAATTTAAGTTCAAGTATTTTTACCTTGAAAATGTAACATGGCCTAACTTCTTGATCTTATGCTCATGAAGTTCAGAACAGGCAAAGTAGAACTATGTTCAGCCAAAATTTTAATTCCTTTACTGAAAACTGACTCCTAAGCTTATGAAGGCCAATATATCCAGGTTTCTTACTACTTTGAAGAAATTAATTCAGCTTCTCAGAACCACATAGATTGACTGCCGCATCACGATTCACCCAGGGCCACATTCTGCGGCTCAGACGTTTTCAACATTTATGAAGCCCACAAATGTCAAACAAATGTAGTCATTCTATTTGCCCTCAGTTAAACCTTAGATAACTGCCCACCCCCTCACCCCCCACCTTACTTTAAACCAAAATTTCTGTTATTTGTATTTACATTCTCAGTACTTTTACTAATGTTGTGTTCTCTGATATGTTTCTAAATCTAGATCCCAGGACTCTCATCTGTCTGCGTCGCCCTCCCTTGTCACTCCTTCTGGTGGCACGGAAGTGGGGGACTCCGAGAGGACTCCCTTCAGCGCCCCTCCTGCAGCGCCCTCTGTGTGCTGGGAGGAGGTGTGCCACAACGGAGGCACCTGCCGTCCCCTGTTTCTCTCCAGTGGTGTCTTCTCCTTTCAGTGTGACTGTCCTCTACATTTCACTGGCCGTTTCTGTGAACAAGGTAATCAGTCTTCCTTATCCTTCTGTATTTCTTTTTAAAATCTTTTCTAGAGGGAGGAAGAGAATTGGAACCTATTGTACCCACCTTGATGAATACGAGCACAAACAAGAAACATCTGTCTAATTTTATTTAAAAATGAATTCTGATAGAACATTTTTCAGTTCAAGAATGTAGAAGCAAACCTAAATTTTTTTTATTAGGATTGCCATGCAAAATATTTTCAATTGCCACACAAAATAAGAGTAGTGTCAAATGTAGTGTTAATTGTATAGTTTCTTCTAACAGTGTGGTGGGTCCATCCTTTGTCGCCATAGAAATAATTTGGTTCTAATTAATACTATTTTTATTGATTGTTAATCATATCACTGTTTTTTGTCTTTCATAAGCAGATCCCTAGATTTAAATTATTTTAGTATGTAAGAAGAGTACATTTTTTTTTTAATGCTTAAGACCATGTTTAGCATTAATGGAGCTATTTATGAATGAAAAGAAAATTTCCTGTTGTCAACATCTAGTGGCCTCCTGAGAGTCTCTCAGTTAATTAAAGCCATGCTGGGTACCTACAGCCAGAAACACCCTGGGCAGATTACAAAGACATTAGGTTATGAGGCAGCTGACTACATGTCCCTCTATTGATAGTTGAAAAGTGTCATTGTTTCCTATGTAAAATGAATCACTGGATTTAAATTGGGGAAGTGGGATGAGATTTACCAGTGAGTAATGATTCAGATGGCCGAGAATTTCATTACTTATCCAAGATTATGTTAAATAACTCCATCTTTTAGTAGCAAAATGTGGGACCTCCAAAACCTAATAAAGTATGTGAATATGTTATTCAACTCTTCTTCCCAAATGACCTTGTGTGACTGCTGTGAATGTTTTAATCAGCCAAGTAAGCAAGGCAAAACAGTAAGAAGCACAGAAATGGAAATAGTCTCTTTTCATGTTCATTGTAAAACACTGTCCTTAAAGTCTGTTTTTGAACTGTAAAACACTTTTGATGACACATCGCTATTGCTTAAATTTTTTTTAATCCTCACCTGAGAGTATTTTTTTTTTTTCCATTGGTTTTAGAGAAAGAGGGAGAGAGCAAGAGACGAGAAAGAGAGGAAACATCAATGTGTGAGAGAAACATTGATCATTTGCCTCCTACACGTGTCCTGACTGGGGATTGAACCAACGACCTAGGTATGTGTCCTGCATGGGAATCAACATTCAACCTTTTGTTATACAGGATGACAGTCCAACCAACAGAGACACCCAGCCAGGGCTAGTGCTTGCTTAATTTTTTGTTTGTTTGTTTGTTTTATCCTCACCTGAGGACATTTTTCCATTTTTTGTTCAGATAGAGTGGGAAGGAGAGAGAGAAACATCGACATGAAAGGGACACATCGAGTGGTCGCCACCCGGACGATCCAACTAGGGCCAGGGACAAACCACAACTGAGGCATGCGCCGTTAGCGGGAACCGAACCCCGGTCTCTCTGGACCACAGGCCAATGCTCCAACTGCTGAGCCAAACTAGCCAGGGCAGTGCTTGCTTAATTTTTGAGTGAATATTTTATATGTCTGCAAATATAAGATTGGCCTTCTTCTGCTACACTCTGAGACCATTTACATTACCTACTGTGAACAGAGTTCGAGGGACAGAATTTAGATTGTTAAGTTCTCTTAGTTACACACTTAACCATTTAAAACTCTGAGGACATTTTTTTCTTTAATTTTATACTAGGTAGTGTCTTAGAAAATTACCTTCCTTACCTTTCTTCAAATATACTTTAATATTTTAATTTATTTTTAGTCCAAATTTCTGACAGTGGTGAAATTGATATTTTAAAAGGAGGAGTGCTTTGTTATTGAGTATCTCCTGGTCAACCATAGATGACTATCTAGCTGTGATTCCTCTCTCTCCTACTGAATCCCCAGTTCTTCCTCCTGCCTCCCTACTCAGTAGCATTGATGCTCAGATACTGAATAGTACTTTCCTTCAGAAAAGGAGTAATTCAGGTTTATTTGGAGTTAAGTCTAAGACTTGAATGAAATTTAATTACATTTGGTGTTTGAGTGACAAAATATAGGAACCTGACCCCAGGAAGAGAATTTCTGCTCTATATTCATTGTTGGGAATATTTTCCTTTTCCAACATTATTATTCACTTTGTATCTCATATTTTTAATTATTTGCCTGATGAATTTATAATATTTTGAAAAACTAATAAATGGAATGACAATGTGTTGCTAAAACTAGGTAATCCACTATAGGTTATTGATTTCTACATGAAAAATAATCAGAAACTTTGAGTAGATAACTATTACGAAGAGGAAAATTTTTTTTTCTTAAAGAGACTTTAAGTCAGTGATATTTGAGATGTATGATGCACTAAAGAAAATGCATGCAGCCCTGGCCAGTTTGGCTCAGCGGTAGAGCATCAGCCCGTGGACCAGTGAGTCCTGGGTTTGATTCTGGCCAAGGGCACATGCCTCAGTTGTGGTTCATCCCCAGCCCTGCTCGGGGTCACACAGGAGGCAACCAGTCGATGTGTCACTCTTACATTGATGTTTCTCTCTCTCTCCCTGTCTCTCCCTTTCTCTCTACCTGAAGATAAATAGAAAAATATCCTCGGGTGAAGATAAAAAAAAAAGAAAGAAAATGCATGCAATAGGACTCTTTTTAAATAATCAGCCAGGATAGTATTGCCTGTAACTTTGTGGTTATTCTGCTTTCTTTGGGGGAAAATATCTCAATATACTATTTAGAATTGGGAATGTTATTTTTAAATGTAAAAATTGTCTGCATTTACTTTTAACCATTTACCCCTAAATTGGAATTAAGTACCTTTCTTCTTTCAGTCATAAAGAAAACCAAGAATAGGTTTATGTTTCCAGTCTGATGCTCTAAATATAATTCATACTGGTATACATCTTAGAATTCAGATTGACAGATAGTGACTACTGCCTAAGGCCCATATTTCAGGAATCTGTTACCATAATGAGACTTTTTATAGCATTATGCAGGCCGGTCAGATGCCACAATTTCTAAGAGTAGATTTCAAAAACAGTATTTTATGCCAGTTTCAACCTGTTCCCACTACCTGATAAAAATCTTGCTGTGGATAAACAGTCCCTAAATCAAAGTCAGTCTGTCTGTCTGTCTGTCTCTCTCTCCCCTCTAGTATAGTGTGTGTGTGTATGTGTGTGTGTGTGTGTATTCTTAGAAATGTTCTCAGTTTTAAATTGCTTAGAATTTATCGATAGATTGTATGAAAATTATTTCTTAGCTAAGTCCCTGCTGAGTACATTCAACATCTAAATTATATGAACTTCTGCTTCAGGAATGAAATTTGCATAATATCATTGTGAAGAGTTCTGATTTACCAGACACTGCACTGAGTGCTTCATGAATCTTGTTTCACTTAACCCTCAGAATAACCCAGGTGAAGTAAGTGGTCTAAATGATCCCCTTTTACAAATGAGAAATCTAAGGCCCAGAGTTGTTAACTCACTCGCTCCAGGTCGCACAGCTTGGACATCCATCGCAGAGAAAGGATCGGAAGCAATCTTGCCTGACTCCAGACTTCAATGTAACCACCATGTTCTATTGCTGCACTAGATAGACAATCAAATTTCACATGATGACATGACATGGAATTTCTTAATGTTCTCACTCTTTCATCTGTTTATTCAAAGTACCTTTCTTGAAGGAAGAAAAGAGCATTTTCTTTAAAAACTGGAATTTTCAAAATCAGTAAACCAAAGAAGTTAATTTTGATCTAATAAATTTTTCAGGCATTATCATGACCCACCTGAAATTAAACTGAAAGTTTATTAGGCGGCCCTAAGAGAATTGTATCTGAGTGTGTATTTGAGTAAAACTAAAATATAGAAAATAAATTAAGAAGATTTGAATTTCAGAAAAATCTAGACATAGGTAATGGAAGAACCGAACTCTCTGAAGAAAAAAAAAAAGATATAATTTTATAAGCATCTAAATGTAAAGATATGATGGAAATTGATTTTTTCTTTATAGCCTTGCTCCTTTTTATATTTAAAGTAAATTTCTTCAGCTTGAAAGAATGTTAAAGTATTTTATTTTAACAACTTTGTTTGTTTCCCAGCAACATGGAGGTGTAAATTAAGTAGAGGCCTTAACTAAAATAGCATTAGATTCAGTAACACAGAGAGCGTGTTTTTAGGGTTATGGGATTCAGTAATGGGTCACCCATATACATATTTCCTGTCAACTTAGCATTACATCATGTGCTCTACTTTATCAAATCATCCATGTACAGTCACCTAATAACGCTGACTTATAGAACCGGTTTGATTTAATGGGCTCTTTTTTCTCTCAGTGCATGTTAGCTTAATTCCTATGAGCTAAACCGTGTTGCCTACTTTATCATAATGCTTCTGGATCTCACCGGGGGAAACGTAAGAGCATATAGTCTTGCTTTGTTTTAGACGGCTGCAGGCAGGCAGATGGCTGTCTCCTACCGCAAAGTTCAGAGTGACAGATTTAGAATATCAGTGCCTTGTGCTGGGGGAAAGCGTATGCCTCTGACTATTAATTATAGGATTAACATTTTTAAACAGCCCCATGCTTTTTAGTGTTCTATAAAATGGTTTTATAAATAGTGCAGTAAAGGAGTATTTAAATGCCATACATTAAAACCAAAAAAATCTTTTGTTTTATTTGAAATCCTGTCTGTATATATTTTATATATGCTTAAAGGTCACTTGTACTGAGTAAATTGCAAACCTAGAAATAAAAATGAGAGGTTTTACTAGGTGTTTTGTCTTGTTATTTATATATTTAAAAGACTGCCTTAGTGGATGCCTTTGGTTTTACCATAACTGGCATATATTTTAAAGGCATGTTAGAGCAGTCTGAATTTATTTATTAACTTTAGATCAGGTGGCTAAATGTCAGACATTCCAGAGCCAAGAAGGCAGAGAAACAGAGTATTAATCAACTTAGAACAATGGTGTAACTGCTCTCCAGAGA